TTTTATCTATATTAGATGTTACGATGCCATCATGTTGTCTACCAGCAACCCAAAAATGAGTTCAAATGACCTTTTAGCATTCATGCAAAATGGAAAATGGACTGCGTTTTCCTTTCTGCGCCTACCTACAACGAAACCTGTCGTTTAATTTCACAGCTAACAGCAAGAACAGGCTTGACAACACTTCAGCACGGCCACGTATTAGTTTTCCTAATTTGCAAGAGGACATACACGCTTGATGGCATCAGTCTTCAACTGATTACTACAAGAGACTGGGAGCAAAGTTAAAATCAAAACAAGAGCTTATCAGAAGCTGTACATTTGTGCTGATTGTGGTAGCTGACTGACTGCTGCCAGACAGCTGCTGTTAGAAATTCTCTGCTTCTAATCACTGGTGTAAAATTAAAATGACATCAAAGTATCTAATGTCATTAATTCTTACAAGAAAGTCTTTTACCCCCATTTAAAATATCTAAAAGTGTAACTGTAGGTACCCATTGTATTTTGGACCTATCCAGAATATAATGAAAATACAAATGAAGCAAGCAGTTGAGCCCAGAAACCAATCATTAAAGTGAGGCCACAGAAGGAGAGAGCTAATTCACATCCCTCACGCGGAACAAGTTAAAATTTGAATTATTTTGTGCGTATACTTTAAAATTGAGCAATGACAAAAACTCTTGACCATCCGTTTTGTAAACATGTAAAGGCTTGGGGAATCTCTCCATTTCAAATTCTGCACACAGTTCGTCTCAATTAGTTTTTATTTACTTTCTGTGCTTCTTGCTACAAAATGCAGTTTTCTGCTTTATGCATTCAGCATCGTGTAGCTTCTCTGTCTCGATGGGAGACCACTTGGGATATCACCCGCATGCCTTTCCGCCTTGCTGAAACCATGCTAGCACTCACAAAGCATGACGCGGGCAGCCCCCGACATGACAGACAGGCATGCAGAATGGCAGACAGAGCATGGATGACAGATGAAGTACTATGAGAGACAGACAGGCGGACAGAGGGTAGTGGATCTGTTTTAGGTGAGTTAAAGGAGCTGGAAACAAGCCCATAAAGGGAGTAAAAGTGGTGCAGTTTATGGAAGGGAAACTAAGGGTATCTGAAAAACCTGATTCTTATAGTTGTAAACGCTTTGTGCGCAGCCTAGAATGAGTGTTGGACAGTCCACATTCCTGAGCTTCCTTGGGCAAAATACTGAACCCCAAATTGCTCGCACTGAATATGACTGTAACCATGGCAGTCAGATAGTGCCTGAAAACTACAAACTCCAGTATAAGGAATGCATGAAGGCCAAGAAAAACAGTGCTATGGTTCCCAACGTGAATCGTCCAACATCAACTCAAGACGTTCACAAAAAACGAGCCTGTACATCGTTTTTGTGTATTCAGCGTATTCACCCATTTTACAAAGACACACAAGCAATCACATGTAATTTGGCCGAAGATACGAGCCCACTGAACATGAGCAATAACGACTTAACATAAGTCTTTTAAATTTCTCTCGCAGTCTAAGTTCACTGACGGTTAACGTGGAAGCAATTTCCAGCAACACGGAGTCAATGGCGAAACCAGATTTTTCTTAACTCGCAGAGTAGTGAATGAAGCAGCTACCAATGAGAACTAAGGATACAGCTGTCATATGAAATGGTGCTAAATAAGGGTTACCTTGGCAACTGAAGCCTTAAATGTTGTTGATTAGTCTTTAAGTGCAGATGGAACCAAGGTGCCAGAAGGAGGTGGCCTACGGTCTGCCCAGTCTGTCCAGACATCGTAAAAGGTTTCAACAGGTGAAGGATCACGGTATGAAACTGACACTTGTTCTCTACTTAGTCATCTGTATTTTTATTTTTTATTTTTACAATTCAAAAAGATTTCCTGTGTGACTACATAAATGACAATATTAAATAACCAGTCTTACAGTTATTGACCAAAGTCATCATAATGATAATTTCTGTCATAATCTAGCAGCCCTACGTTTAATGCCATGAAATCAGTCTAAATGGAAGAAAGCCAGACCGATACAACTGATGGACTGACTAAAACAGGATGTCAGATGAGACAACCAAAATAACATAACTGAAAGAGACAGACGAGGAAGATACGAGCCTTAGAGGAGACTGCAAATGAGAGAAGGAGAGAGGGAAACAGATGGAGGAGAAAAAATAATTAAAGAAGAGGATAAAGAGAAATGGAGAGTGGAAAATACTAAAAGGAAAAGATGCTGAGAGACACGACAAATCATTACAGCAGACAACCTCATCCTTCATTCTCTGGTGCTCTCTTTTTCCCTGACACACACACACACACACACACGCACGCACACACACACCAACTATTCTCTCTAATCTAACTCCTGTGGCAGTGTGAATAGATATGGCTGTTTAGTGCCAGCAGCACAGCTCCTGGTACCTGATGGCAGCAATCTGCTGAGTCAGGAGCTCTGCACTGCGTGTGTGTGTGTCTGTGTGTGTAGGTGTGTGTGTGCGTGTGTGCCTTTGGGAGTGTGTTACGGAGAAACAGAGAGAGTGAAAGTGTTCGCATTCGATTTACTTGAGTGCGTAAATGTGTGTGTAGTCTTCTTCGGGAACGAAGAGCACTGCAAACTCAACACTCCAACTACACACACACACACACAGCCACAGGAGCAGGCTGACAGAAGTTCACTATCATTACCATGCCAGCAAGACGTTAGTGGTATTACCATGACAACAAGCTTTCACTGTCATCGCCATGACAGCTGCAGGTCACGACTCCTCGAACTGAAAAGCTTCCTTTTAGCAACAAAGATGCGGATCGCTGTAATTTCTTAACAACTATTCTTAAAACATCATCAATATAAAAAAACCTAAACAAAACAAGATCAGAATTTCCAGCAGGATGGCAATATAGCAACAAATATGACCAATTTAAACGACTGTTTTTGTTCTATAACTATTTAACCCACTACAAATCTCTGTTTGTAGTGATAACTGTCACTAAGGTTCTGTCTTATACATCATATCAAGTGCTATCGAGGAGGCTTCAGCACGAGAACAACCTCAAAACTAGAGTGATGTGCAGTAACAACAAGAACAGGGTTTCCTGCAACAAATGGTAGCACATCCAGACAGCGCTGATCTCAACATGTCTTGAAGGATTACATCAGAGGTCATCAAATGTTTGAAGTCATGTCCCACTTCAGAAAAGTGTTCCAGCCCTACATCACTCCGTTTTTATCATTAATAATGAAAAAGGATCAGCAGTTTAGCAAAAGTATTGCATTTACGGTTTAGGAATTGGAGTCCTTTTTATACACGGCCTCCCATTTTACAGATGCTCAATAATTTTAAATACTTGGATGAAATTGTTGTCAATGACTGCCTGAAGTCTAGAGCACGTGGACATCACCAAATGCTGTTTCCTCCCTGCCTAAGATGCTCTGCCAGGCTTTTACTGCAACTGCCTTCAGTTGCTTTGCTTGTTCTCTGCCTTCAGTTTTGCCTTTAGTAAGTGAAAAGCCGCTCTGTTGGGCTGAGATCAGGTGGCTGACTTGGTCATTGAAGAAAATCCAGTTTCTTTGCCTTGAGAAACTCTCGGGTTGCTTTTGCAGTATGCTTTGAGCCAGTATTCATTTGTACTGTGAAGTGCTGTCTGATTGGTTTTGCAGCCTTTGGCTGAGTACAGAGCAGCCATCCCCATGAAACTACTTAATTGTCAAGCGTTCAATCACCTTTGACCTGCTGGAAATTGGGGGTAGGTTTACAAGTTGCTGTAATTCCTCAACAGTTATTGTAATATTTCTATTGACTCCTTGAAATAAAGCTGAAAGTCTACACTTAAGTCTTGTTTGATTTAAATGCCACTGTGGTTGTGTGCCTTTTAAACATAAATAAAATAAAATTTCAGAAGCAGATTTTATTTCTCCGTGACCCATGAAATTGAAGTTATGAGTCTCTCTCCATTTACTTAGACATGGGCTTCAAAATAACTGTCCAAATTCATTCCGAGATGGCTGGCTGGTTGTGGGACTTGAATCTACACGGACTTTGTTTTAATCCAAATTTTTTCCTGGTTGTCCAAGCGCCACCTTCAGTGGCTCTACCCCCCTGCAGTTTTAGAACCACTGGATTATAAGACGCAAACATCTGAAACAGACCAAAATGCATTAACAATTCAACCTCCCTGTTTTATACCATCAAAAACTGTACAGGTCTATGGTACTTTATAAATACGAATATTCATACTGCACAATTTCTACCAATGGCGTCACAAGCTGTGAAGTCCTCAGTCTGGGTCTGGAATAGTTACACTAAGGATCAATCAGCGTATAATAATCTGCGATGCTTCTAGCAAGGACTCATTTCCAGGTGAAATTCTAATATTTCCACAATCCACAGAGACAAAAACCCACAATTCTAGATGAAGATAGCAAGTGGGGAACTGTGAGGAGAATACAAATATATAAAGAAATAGACTACATTTAACCTGGATGTTTCACTAGGACAGTAAATCTCACTGTGAGCAGTTATCTGACCACCACAGCAGGAACAACTCAAGCAACCTTCTTCATCCTTCCTGCTCTCCATCACAAAGCATCTGCACAAAATGCACCAAGGTCAGTCATCTGTGTAGAGTGGATAGAAAATCGAGCTCCATTTATGTGGATGGTCGGTGTCACAATATCTGGCTGAACTATTATTCCAGTGTTCTTTGCTGTGCAGGTGTCAAGTGTGGCCTACTGTGCAAAAATGATGACAGGCCATTTCCAAAACTATCCACCCACCACACTCAGGCAGCAAGGGCTTGGATGTAACTGTTATACACTTGAGCTTTCCAAATTGTACTTTTTTTGGGGGGAAAGGGGGGGTGGTGGAAGGATAGAGTACGTGTTGGCGGCATTGGCTGCAGAGCTCGAGTGGGTGAAAGGTAACAGGCTTTTTATATTGGTAAGTTTAGATGGCTGCAATTAGATGAGTGGAGACGCATGCTCACATTTTGTCTCACCCTTACCTCCAGCCATGTCCTCTTCCAGCAGTTGTATCTGAAGGTGGAAGATCTTCTCCTGGAGGTCACAGAGGGTGTGTTTCATTTTCTCCCTCCGTGTCACCATGTAGCACAGATTGCGCACCTGAAACACAGGAAGAGGAGCAGTAGCTATAACTAGAGGCTTGTGCACGGGCAACATAATTCATCATGACGCAGTAAAAAGATCAGCCAAAAAAAACAAAAACAAGATGACTTGGATGACAAGGAAGGACGAGTGCTCGAGCACAACCTGGCTAATGGCAGCAGACCTGCATGATTGGTGCTACAAATTAATTATTATTTGCACATTATTTTATATAATATTTGTGTTAAGTAAATTGTTTAATAGTGAACTGACTTGTGAACAGTACAAGGAAATGCCAATGAAATTTAAAATAGGCAACACTTTATAATAATGGCATGCTATTAAGCACTAATAAGCTATAAGTGTATTCATATGACAACAGCACCTGCAGAACACATGACAGCCCAAGCATGTCGACATCCTAGACGTAGGCATGATTTTGAATATCTGAACAGTCATTAGGTTGTTAAAAAAGTCAAATAGCTAGGGTGAATTTTTTATTTTTGTCAAAAATACAAATTTCTTCTTCTTTTTAATGGTTTGGGGCCCACCATTAAACCCCAAAATGAAGGAAGAATGAGCCACTAACTAGGACGCATGAGACCAGAAAACCTGTGAGATTTTTCAAATTATTGCTTGAAATACCCCACGACAGCTGGTACAGGCGCTAGCCCCCCATTTCCATTATTATATCACTTTCTTTATAAAGCATTTAAAGAAAAACAGGTCTGACCAAACAACAAAACCAAACCTATAAGACAAAAACAGCCCAGAGAGTAAAAGTTCTAGGGACGCATACAAGCTGTAGAAGGTAATAATGAATGCACATAAAAGAGGAACATACAATTCAGAGTCAACAAATGACACTAAATCGAAAGTCAGGAAATAAAAGAGCGTTTTTAAAAAAGATTTAAAGATGAAGGAGCAGGTCTCATGTGCAATGGCAAAACTTTCCACAGTTTTGGAGCTGCAGCCGCAAATTGTTCCTATTTGCAATACATAAAACCATAAAAACAAAACAAACAAACAAGCAAAAAAAAAAAAAAGTTAAATGGATTTGCAAACAAACTGCAAGCCAGTAAAGGGAAGTCAGAATTGAAGTAATGTGCCCTCGCTTGGTGCTTTTTGCACCAGCTGTAGGCGAGCTATGGAAGCCGGGCTAATCCTAATAAGAAACACACCGGAGTAAGTGAGAGACTAGAGGTTATAAAAAGCGTGTATTAAGTATTAGTTAATGATTTCAGGCTCTTGTTTTATGTGTCAATGTAACCATGTTAGCAGTGCTCTCATCTGGCTTTTGTGCAACAGTTGGTTCATACAGGTAGCTGGTATTATATAACCTTTGTATACTTTATGTTTATGCTTGCTATTAGAACATTGCCACTTATATATATATAAAACAAGCATAAGCTACTTTCATCATTTATACAGACCCTTCTCTTTTTCCAATATTGCGTTATTCTTACAAGCAACAAATGTTAACTAATCAGAGTGATCACAGACCACTGAGACTCTGCAAAAGCGATGATATACACCTACGTTATAAGATCTCCATTTCCAAACTCACCAATGTTTGCTTCTCTACATTACCCAAAGTAAACTCTGAACTGATTTTGACACAACTGGGTCGAGACCACGTCAAAAGAACTGCTATGTTAGTTACAGTAGTTGTGAATATGAGACAAAGCAAAGCAAACATGCGTCAGATGAATGTTATTGTGATTCTACCTGTGCTGTTTGGTCAAGCAACACTTCGAGAAGCAAAAATTAAAGCCAGCAAACGCAACACAATGCAGACAAAACCACCAAACTAGAGGAAAGTCAAATGTACACATTAGAATTACAGCCATCAGATGGACCGAAAATGGCCTCCAGCAAACATTAAAGTTGCTCTGTGAGTATCAATAACTGTCTGTTAGTGTTTCGTGAAACTAAAGAGATTCACATTTCAAAAGAATCATAAGGTTTAAATGATACATGTCATAATATCAGAGGTTTATAGTGCATCCCTCCGCTTCTGACACGGTCACAGAGTCAAAAGGCGGCATCCTGTTTCCTGCCAACAAACTCGATCTTCTTCCACTCGAACCCAAACTCCAGCTGAGCCCTCGTGCTCCTTCATTCTGCCAAATTACTATCATATGGCCCTGCAAGCGGTATATGACCGCATTAGTGTCTGCGCTGAGCTGGAAGATGGATGTGCGAGCATGCATGTTTATGTCATGCGCATATGGATGTTCAAAGAAAATCTGTGGTTGTAAATGCATGTGTTACTGTTTCGTATTGGCAAGACATTAAAAAAAAAAGATGAAGAAGAAAGCAAATGAAATAGCTGAGAATTAGACTAACGGGCAGAAAGAGATGGATACATTGAGAAAGACAGGTACATAAATATGATTCAAAGATATAGAAATACATAAAAAGCTTTAGTTATTAAATGCTAACCAATAAATCTATCTGCAGATAAAATGATGACAGAGCCTGTGTATGCTCCAGCAGTATGTTTCAAAGGGGAAAAGGAGTAAGATGATGAGAAGAGAAAATGTCCAGCGCATCTGAACAAACATTTGCTCCACACTCGTTTCAGTGAGAGAGCAAAGGCAAATTTCTAGTTATGAACCGAGTTATCCAGCTACAAAGTACTTTACATCTCATTATAGATCACTGGACCCGTGTTCTTACTTTTCCTTCTGAGGCTTTTGATTTAAAAATCCGCCAAACATAAAACAGAAACAAGTGTTTAAATTTTAAGTTGGCTTATCTTTTCTTAAATTCATTTTCTATTGATCTTCATTCTTATCTTGATGCACATTAGTACCAAAACTAGCACGACTGAAAAGTAAAGCCTGTGTGGGTTAACACAATGCCAAGGAGGAAAAACGTCAGCAGTGATTAGAGCAGCCATTGTTGCTCTCCAGGGAAGGGTTACAAGGTCATTTTCAAACAATTCACGGTCCATCATTACCTCTGCCATGGAGGTTATGGTTTTGTTAGCATTTGTGAGCGTGTCTGTGTCATTATTATGTCTGTAAACACGATAACTCGAAAAGTTTGGAATTCTGATCAAACTTTGCAGGGGTGTGGAGTGGGGTCATGTTCACAATCCATTCAAATTTGACTCATTTCCACAGAGGTCTTTAAGGTCAACTTAATGATTTATTGGATGAAAACTGATTTTTTTAAAAACTTAGAAACTATGTGCTACATATTGTCAACATACAGAAAAAACTATATAAAGATTTAAAATATCACATCTGACCTATGACCTCTCCTTCAAGGCCAAAGTGATAATAATGCTATTATGCTAGAGTTACTGCCATTGTTGGTACTGACAACATATAACTATATAGGGAATTATATATGATGGTTTTATTGACTTTAAATGTACATTAGAGTACCAGGTTAAAGCTGTTTAAATACAACACAACCACAATTTGAGGAAACAAAATGAATATATACAAAATACAATCCTGCACTCTGAAAAGTAAACACTGCCCAGAGAGTGAGCTGCCTCCTTGGAGGAGGTTTATCCTGCAATGAGAATGCTTATTTGCAAGCGGAAAAAATTCAAGACAGCTTCCAATTATCCAGGAGAAAGCCTCTTCTGTCTAAGAAGAACATGGCATCATGGGTTACGTTCGCAGAGTTGCATCTGGAAAACTGTAAGACTCTGAATAGAATATAGCATTTTATTGACATTATGCATGTACAATGAAATTGTGGAACAATGTCCTTGGGATAGACAAGACCAAAGCACAGATGTCTGGCCATAATGCACAGCACCACGTTTGGATAAAACTAAACACAGCATATCAGCACAAACACCTCATACCAGCTGTCAAGCACAATGGTGGAGGGGTGATGATTTGGGCTTATTTTTCAGCCACAGGAGAGACTAATAAGGTCATAAAACAATTACTTAAAGAGGTGGTTTTACAAGCTACTGAGTGATGGGATGTCCTTAGTTTTTCTCATGACTCGTTGCAGTACTTCTTAACTCTGCACATGAGACCCACTCCCGGGTTTGACATTAGAAAGATATGTGCACCCCTGAGTATAACCTAAGTGGTCCGCAGGTGCGCATTCGCTGTCAAAATAAAAGACAAGCACCAGACAAGAAGTTGCAACGCGCGTTTGTGTACATATAAAAGGCACTGTTTTTGTCCTGTAGAGTGGGATTTTCACAGCATATTCTGCACCACATCTCTGTGCGTTCATCATTTGTTTGAAGCCAGCTCACCTCCTGCAACCACTTTTCAGAGAATACACGCTTTTTTTGCGGTTCTGAGATTTCTTTGGAGGTGGAGGAACACCAAAGTAATTGCTTAAAGGAGCTTGCTTCTTCAACATCTTTAAAAGTTCGAAAAAAATGTCTGTCCTCCTCCAGAAAATCTTATGCACGCAAACGCGCGTCGCAACTTCTTCACACCTGCTTGTGTGCAGCCCTGGTTATACTTACACTTTATCCCTCAGATAATCTAATATTAATAACGTCCCAATTGGTTTTGCTGCAGCAATTTGTTTTCAGCTAATTCTATTTCTACACTATAAAACAAACAAACCACAACAGCCGGTTATTATCAGCAGCTCATAGTTTAAATCATGTCTTTCCACAAGAGCCCCTTCTTCTGAGGATCCAAGTTGAATTTTAAGTAATCAAAGATCAGCTGACTGAATATCAAAGAAAAATCACATCTATTCAATTTAAATTCACGTTATAGTTTTTCCCTCGTTATAAGCGCCCCATAGTTTGTAAACCACAGCAATGATGGTAATTTAAACCACGATTTCAGAACAGAGAGTAACAGGAAACAATAAGTTAGGCCATAATAAGTGTATTTGAACCATATACATTGTGGTTGCATGCATTTACCACGAGACTAACACGGCTGCTGCTCTGTAAACCAAACACCATGTGCCGTGCATACTGTTTAGAGCCGTTTAATGCGCTTATAGATGCTATTCCCTGTTGCTCTGACAGCAGGAATCTCCAGTAAGAACTATTATAGGCGCCGACA